CCCAAAAATGACGAGTTTCCTTCATGTTCAGACCTACATTCCCGAACAAATAAGCTATGTTCGAGATTGTGTTCCCGAATAACTAAGTAATGTTTGGGTTTGTATTCCCAAAATTGAAATAATAAAATTTCTGCAAATGTTAAGAATTTTAACTGTTGAGTTGCCATCATCTTGAAATAAATAACAATACAAATTAAATTTCAAAATGTGATCAATAAAACAGGTCCGAACATATGAATAATGTTAAATAAATAATGTTCGAGCATGTGTTCCCGAATTTTGGTCATATGTTCGAGAGTTCAGTCCCAAAAAAATGACGAATATATTTTATTATTTTTGCCATTTTTTTTTCAAGAAACTTATCCTTACAAGGCCAATCTCCTCTGAGTTAAGAACAATATCAAAGTTATGAACATTTTCTAAACTTTCATTGTTATACTCCACTCGTCTTATGGAGTGTTAGTTGCCAGAAAAACTTCCACTCACTATCATTGCCGTAGAAGTGTAGGTAATCAAATGGTTGCTACCGTTACTACCGGAATATTGTTGCCAAAGGATTTTCAAGGTTTTAAGAGTGGATAGGTTTTGAAGGTGGGATTTGGAAAAGAGAGATGGGTGGTGATGGAGATGGGTGCTCTCATAAAACCTAATTCATGATGTAGTGGGTGTGTAGATTTAATTGTGAGATGGGGTGTTCCAAAATTAATGATGTCCTTTATAGTAATTTTATTTGAGGTTATTATTGTAATAAAAAAAAAGCTAAGAAATGAGGGATTCAAAATAATTTATGGGGTGCTAATAAAAGTACTCTTTTTATATACCTACAATGAGTTTATAGACTAAAATACTTTTTTCAAGTTGATTTTTCTTAACGAAAATAGGCAAATGGTTTAAAATAAAAAAAATCAAAATATTAAGATTTAAATTGATAAAATTAAAAATTCAGAATTTATTTTGTTACAAAATTTTTCTTTTTTGGTTGTCTGTGTGTATAATTGTCCTAATAATTTATTATGGGATAAGGGGTTATGTTGAGCACTGGTTGAGAGTAAATTAATGAGACTGCCAATTACAGAACGAATGGCTTCTCATCATATTATTATTCTTCATATTTCACCATACTTTATTTTATGAGCTTTTTTTAGATCCATTTTAGATCTACAATGATAATTTAAATTATCATCTTGTAAATCTCATAGTAAAAATTGTTTATGCAAAAAATCAATTTTATCGAATATTAATAATAGATGAACAAATCACGTTTTATTTAGGTGGTTTGAGTTTAAACTCATAATTGTTGTTATTTTAAAAAGAAAATATATTTATTGGATTTTGTGATCAAAACCCTTCTTTTGGGCTCCTTTTTAGTAAAAAAGACCATCAAAACTTTTGTAATTTGTAAACCCCCATTGCAGAAGAAATCCTTCAGGAAGGACAAACAAGTAATTTTTATATGCGGATAGGATATATGTCATGTGGTACCTTCTATTATTATGATTGGTTTTAATAGTAGGGTCTACTACATTTATGTTTGGTGTTTGGGAAACAATAGGAAGCATATACATTTATGATTAGTGAAAGGTACTTCCATGTGGTACCCTATTGGCATACCAAAATTTCTCAGGACAAACAAACTTCTTTCCTTTTATTTATTTATTTTTTTATGGACAATCTTACTCTCAGTAACTAATTTTATATTTTAAACTTTAAAATGATATAACCTTTGATTTAACTATTGATTTTTAATAAAATTAATATTTTTAAAATTCTCTCGTCAAGATCTATCAAATAAATGCCATATTAGCCATAAAATTTCTTTAATAAAAAATAGTAAATTTTTTACGGTTGAAACTAGTGAAAAAAGTAAAATTTTATTCTAATTTGTTATGATAATATGTAATCTTGATACTCTATTTTAAATTAGCAGTAAAATTTTACACTAGTTTGTGTTTTGTTTGGTAACGATCTATTTATAAATGATAGTATAATTTTCTTTGGTTTGTTCATAAAATTGACAATGACAATCTAGTTTGATTTTTGTTTGGTGACACGGTTTGAAATTTTGTTTCCGGGTGATATGTTTAACAATTATGATAAAAATTTACTATAATATTATATTTTTGTAATTGTTTTATAACACCCCAAAAATATAGATACCAAAATACACATTATACTTCTCATTAAACCTCCAGAAGTCTACTTAATCTCAATCATGTGATACAAGAAACATTCTCAATACTGTATTTCATTCGTAAATGTCCATTGAGTCTTACGAATTACACCACATGCATTATTACATTAATTAATCTAGAACTTAAATTCATAGCATGTGAACGAAAAGAAACAATATTTAAACTCATACAAGTTAATGCCTTAAAGACTACATGTTTCAAGGCCTTACTCGATTACAAGAAAATTGGGACATAAGCCCAATACATCAAAACCCAACGCTATACAAGAAACAAAATACATATACAAAAGCAACGGAGCCTCAAGCTCT